GAGATACACTTGTTCTTATCAATATTTGTTTAGTTATTGTTAGGAGAGGGCTATTTTGGCTTTGAGCTTAATTCTATGGTATGGTTCTTTCTTTTGGTTATGGTCCATCTTATAGTGTGGCCTTTCTGCAGCTTCAACTGAAGGCCCAAGGTGCTCAGTGAGGTATGTTTTCCCTGTTACTCCAACATCTCCAAGCATTGCAGATAAGCTGCTATTTCTATTTAGCATTTGGCTCAGTAGCTCTGGTACATAGAGTCTCACTCCATGCAGGCATGAATCAGACTTAAGCTAAGAACCTGCAGTAACTTCTCATGCAAACTCTTCCTCAACCCTCTCATATAGCTACCTCCTTGGCCACCTGCCCTGCAAATTATCACTTCATTAACCACCTGGTGTTCTAATCTTTACCTCCAAAGTTCATCAAGATCGCATTTCAACTTGGTCTCATATCCTTGAATTAGAGCAGGAAAATAAACTGGCAAAAAGCTGAGAAGATTGTGGAGCTACCATGTGCATTTCCCTTTTCTAAATGGTTACAGTATTGCTCTGGATATTGCCCAGAATTGGTGATATGGGGTCCAGTTGCCTTAATCACTACACCCCCTGGCTGACCCTATTGTATAGTTTTATAATTGTGTATAGCAGGTCCAGTACCATTAACTCTGTTATGGCTGGGGTAAGAAAATCCATGGGTTTATATTTAATTTCACAAAACCTTGTGAGATAGTACTTGTGAAGTAGGTAATATTACTATGACTTAGTTTTATAGAGAATTAACTTCAGGCTAACTAGTAAGAGGGGGAGTCAGAATTTGAACTTAATCAGTCAGATTCTAGACTCTGCACCCTGACTCAATCTACTAAGCTGCTCTTACAACAGGAAATTATGTTTATTTCACAACAATTATTATACTATTTACCTCATATATTTACTAATTTTTTTCCATATAGTTTATTACTTCTGTATAAGTACCACATATTTTCCACTTATAACTGTCTCTCCATTGCCTTACACAGACTATTGGTGGTCATTCATTAAATACTTATTGAATGAATGAATATAGACCCAAACCATTGGAAAACAATTTTAAAAATAGCATTTTTTTAAAAAAACTTTTTTGGTACTTCAGACTTCATCTTGTCTGCCACCTTGTGGCAATAAAATTCTGCAACAAAAATAAATCTGAAAGTAGAGAGTTTACAAAAAAGTGTTATTCAAAATTAGAATCTTTACAATTATGTTTATCAAAATATAATTACATGATAGTAAAAGGGTTATAGTAGGATTTCTACTTTTAAAAAAAGAATCGTTAATTTAATTTTATTTATTATTAATATTTTTTAATTTGACCAGAGAGAGACAGAAAAATAGTGAGGGAAAGTGAGAAAGAAGCCACCACGTTCGGGACTCTAACTGTGGTCAGCCATGTGGGAGTCCAAAGGCTTTAACAACTATGCCACCTGCTGGCTTCAGGATTTCTACTTTTGATAAGACATTAGTAATTAGGACTCACCCTTAGGAATGCTCAAAGCACCTAATGAGAAACAGTGGGTCTAGTCTGATGACATGAGCACAGAACCGGTAGATTTCATTGAAGAGTCTAGGCATCATTTTTAGTTGAAGTAAAAAATGATGCCCATATTTACCACTTTGGATATATTATCAAAATAAAGGAAAAGGTTTTTTTAATAATAATTGCCACTAGAACTTTTGTCTCACTTAATATTACTGCTTAAATGGAAATACTTAGCTGATGAATTTCAAAACGTCTTTGTTGATTTTAAGACTGCAAAGTTATGGTTCTTGTAGTCTTCTACATGACAAAACAATATGCATTTATATCAGAAGCAAAACTATGTGATGGTTTTCAGCTAATTTTTATGTTAACAAGTCTCCTAAAGATATGCAGTAGATGTCACATTTACATAAAATTAAGGAAAAGATGTTTCAGCAAATGCAAATAAATGCAAAAAGGAATATTTTAATTTGATCCATGATTAGTATCAACTATCACAATGTGGTAATAATACAAGAGTGGAATTCTGCATTCACAGTGTAACTAATGGTTGTAAGTTATTTATAGACTAAACATTCTGACTAGTTAATTTATTTTGTGAAATGTATTTATTGATTATAGCTCAGATTCTGTTTTTAAATCTGGGATCTTTAAAAATGTTTTAGGGCCAGCAGGTGGCATTATGGTGAAGGTGCTGGACTCCCATAGGATAACTTTGTCAATTGAGCTCTGTACCAGAGGCTTGAAAATCAAGCCGGGTGCACGTGTGAGCATGCCAAAGCTCCCAGGAGGAGAATAAAGGAGAAGGGATTGTGTCGTGGCCATCCCCTGGGATGGGGGAAGTTATTTCCCATGTTCCCTCTCTCTGTCTTTCTCAGGCACACACACACACACACACACACACACACACACACACACACTTCAATACTAAAATCGCATGCACTTACTTTGGTCATTCTGTGCTATGATAAGCCCAGCAAAGTGATTTCTTTCACTTGGTGCATTATTATGTATGAATTGCTAGTTAATCTCTATTGATTTGCATTTCTTACTTAATGTTTAATGTAGAAACAGAAGCAAAAATTACTTTACAGTAGGAAAAAAGTATACAAAAAGTTCACATAATCGGGAAGGTCATGTTACTATTCACTCTTGTGTCTTTCCCCCTTTGGAATTTTTAAAGTCTTGAAAGAGCACTCTTAGTTTTAATGCAGAATTTTCTGATTTTACCTAATGAAACTATGGAAGCTGATGCTTGCATATTCAGAAACTGTAGCATCTTGTTGTTCTTATATTTGCTAAGGGTGGAATTTTTGATCCTTTATTCTCATTACTTACTTCCAATAAAACAATTGAATTTTGACATACTATTCAGAACTCTTATTATTATAGACTTGAAAATTTATAAAACTGTTCTGATTTCTAGGAGATATTTTCCTTAAAACATAGGGCATGCTGCTGCCCCTCAACCCCCTTTTAAAGAATTATTTTATTCAACTTTATTTATTTATTCATTTATTTATTTGTTTAAATTTTACCAGAGAAAGATATTGGGGGAAAGGGAGGAGAAAGAAAGAGGGAAAGTGAGAGAGCAAGCTGCTAGGTCTGGGCTCAAACTGGGCTGGCCATGTGGGAGTCCCGTGCCCTTAACCACCATGCCACCTGGTGGCCCCCACTGCTGGCCTGTTTTATGTGCGGTGAAAGTCATGGAGAAGATGACATGGAACTAACTTTCAGTGCATCTCAACTTATTGTTGTTGATGCATGCCTATGTATTTCGATGTAGTCCCAAAGCTAAATATATTTCCCATTGTGCTCACAAGTCACCCAAGTAGCCCAGAATTCTCAAATATTTTGGGAATACTTTTAGTTTTCTTCTTTCAAATGGAAATGGAACAAAATTCTTCGACAAACCCTGTGTCCTGATACGAAGATTGGAAACTCTGCATGAAATGTCTTCAGATAATAGAGAGTAGAATATTCTTTTGGTGTCAGAGGGAATCTACCTTTAGGCTCTGTAGGTTATGCAAGCAGAATTTCTTTCAAACAGGCTATCATGTGAATTTCAAAGTAGTTTTACTGTCCATAGGTCCTTAAAGTCAAGTTTAAGTTCACTATTAGGGCTGTGAAAATTCTTGTGTAGAATGCTTACGTCTTAGCACATGAGGATTTGTAAACTACTGTGCTGACAGACCTTCCACTGATTATTGACAAAGCAGGAATTATGTGTTCATGTTGATCTTAGTTTTGTGATTTGTGGCCAAAGAAAGTACAGGGTGTGAGGAGAAAATGGACAACAGACATTCTAAGAATAGCTGCAAGTCATGCGGGAGGTGGAGGGACAGAGGTATCATATTTTCAAGGAAAAAGTTGAAGGGCATTACAGAATCACTTGATCTTTGCTTCACATTAAAACCGTTTATTACCCAGGATAGTAGGAAATATGACAAAGAAGACAGACAAACGGAGGCACCTTTATAGAAGGAAAAATGGGCCGAGGTAATCTTGGGGATTCTAGGAAGTCATGTGGTAATATGAGATGAGGTCTGAAGGAAGACAGAACCATGAAAAAGAACTCCTTAAAGACACAGATTAAGGGGAATAGCAGGTGGCATGGTGGTTAAGGTGCTGGACACTCCCACATGGCTCACCACGGTTTGAGTTCTGGACCTGGTGGCTTGCTTTGCTTTCTCACTTTCCTTCTCTCTCTCTCTCTCTCTGTATGTCTGGTCAAATTAAAATAAATAAAAATTAAATTAAACAAATTAAAAAGACATAGATTAAAAATATTTCACACCTTTGAAAAGTGGCCCAAAGGATGCTGGATCACCTATGCCATCACCAGATAAGCCACCAATATCAAACCTTGGCTCATGGTTCTACCGTTCTGTTCTCCATCTCATCTGCACTTTGGTAGTTCTCACCTGTTAATGTTAATTGTCCCCCTGTTTTTCCTGCAGCGCTTTGCTTCTCCAGTTACTTGCTTTTTAATCTTGCCCTGCATCAGGAATAGTTGCTTATGCATCTATTTCATTCATTAAGGTTTTTTTTTTGAGAGAGATTTTTGCTATAGGGTATGTGCACTCACCAGAGACACTGAGAGAGACAGAGAGACAGAAAGTGAGGAATCACCCCCCTGGGGATATGTTTACACCACAGTTCCTTCTCCTTCATTCTCCTCTTGGGATTTTGGGCATGCCTGTCATGAATTTTAAGTGGCCAGGTCCAGGACTCGAACTGCTGTTGACTATGTAAGAGTACAGTGACATAACCAATGTGCCATCTGCTGGTCCTTCTTTCATTAGGTTTTGAGATGTCTTTCGTTATTGTCTAGCTGCACAAAACCCCAGTCTAAATCAATTTTTTTGGGGGAGGTTTGTTTTATCTTTAAATGGAAATAAAATCATGGCTGATGAGACAAGCTCAGAGAACACCCTTACTTGCATGGATAGAACTTACTTGCAGCTATTAAAATTTCCTTTACCTGTGTGCATGATTCAGTGCAAGGTCGGGTTTCCTCATCCGTAGGTAGCAGGTCACAAGCTTTGTCTCAATGAAACTTGCCACACTTGCTATGTCTTCAGCAGATGCTTCGAAGGGTTTTCCTATAGCTGCCCCTTTGCTGCAAAGCTTAAAAAACACACAATACTTTAAATTTCCCAATCATCTTGCCATATATCTTTTAAATAAGCAAAACACTTAAATGTACACACACTTTTTCCAAATTCTAAGAAAAATATTGATATTTTGATTGTAAATTAAATAAATTGTTCTTTTTTTACTGCTATTTGACTATCATATAAAATAAGTGACGCACTTTACTGTAAAATGTTTCCTGTAAAATATTTTCAAAGAGTGATGGATTTTAAAGGTGTGTCATTTGCTAGGAATGTCTGTTTTAGAAATAAAGCACACAATAAGCAAAGATATTAACAGAAACCAGGCATAAATCACGTTAAATACCAGTGCTTTTATGAAAACCCAGTTGAGCAATGATCTAGCATACCATCAAGTGTGATTTAATACAATAAGAGGTATCGGAAGTAAACTCCTAGGAGCCATTACCATGATCGGTGATTAATTTGAGTCTGAATCATATTCTCTAGGATGTTATTGAAAGAAAAGAAGTGAAAATTTATTAGAATTTATTGGCAGAGGCCACGGTATCTGAAAAACATGGCAAGAATGTGGAATTCTTAATAAAAATTCCAGGAAGTCAAGGGTTTCTGGGCATCACAGATAAACTGCAGAGGAAAAAAAGAAAATGAATTTTTTTTGGAGAACCCCAAACGTTAAGAAGTGTCAATATTCCAACGAGGGTTGATCAACACGTGTTTCTCCTCTGAGTTTTCTGCTGTTACTCAGACATGAGGCTGATTAGGAGGAGAAAAGCCCGTCTCCCGCCGAGTGACCATGTTCAGGGCATCTGCCGCTTGCTTTCTATACCTCATCTGTATGTCCGGGAGAACCTTTACTGGCGATAGGAATATTTGGCCTTAATATCCATTTATATTTGTATCTCTTAATATACAGCTTATTGGATTTTAAATCCTTCATTTAGATATTAAATGATGCAGTTAAAGACTTTATTCTTTTTTATAGGTTAAGTATTGAGTCTACCTTACCCCTTCCATTAATTCTATTGTCGATAAGTAAATTTTTAAATAAGTGCAGTTTGGTTACTTGAAAGGGGTCATATTCTGTTCCAAAGGTACTTTCTGTCTTAATTTTATTCCAAAAACATAATCTAAAAGATAATCTAAAATCTAGATGTTTAATATCCCTCGTTTGAAGCACTGGTGGTTACCCAATGCTATTATATTTTGCTTGCATATCCTTTCAATTTCTGAGGAGTCATATAATGTTCAAAATCCTTTGATAGCTTGATGGGTAAAAAATGTTACTGAATTCATTTAGTCAAAAAATATTGATTGAGCATCTACTATATTTGTCAGAAAAAAAATTGCTGCCTTCACATTTTACTTTGAATTAGGCCTTTTTTACTTATATGTAAATTCCTATTTTCAATTCCTTGCCTATTTCCATTGATAATGAATAATTTCTCTATTTATTATAATAGCTTCTCAGATGTGTAAGCTATTATTTCTTTTCTGGTGACAATTATATATATACGGTCAAAGGTAGAAGGTTTACTCTCATATGAACCTTCAGAAAAATGTCAACATTTATTCATGTTTTTATAAAGACCTCTTAGAATGCATATTATAAAATAGTTCTCTAATATAATGAATCATTTCTCTATTTATTAGAATAGCTTCTCAGATGTGTGTAAGCTATTATTTCTTTTCTGGTAACAATTATATATATACGGTCAAAGGTAGAAGGTTTACTCTCATATGAACCTTCAGAAAAATGTCAACATTTATTCATGTTTTTATAAAGACCTCTTAGAATGCATATTATAAAATAGTTCTCTAATTATTTTGGAAAAAATAGAGCAAAGGCTATTTATTACTAATACAATGGAAATTGGTCAATGCCATGTTCGAATACGGCAAAAAAGATCACCCCGGAAAATGGATAATGAAAGAGATGAGGCATTTAACACACATTCAGTGATTCTTCCTGAGAGTCTGACCTCAGAAATGTCAATGTGATTGCAAACAGACCTTAAAATACAATTTTACAAAGCATTACAGTGAACATGGCAGCTTGAGCTAGCAACTCTTCCCTCTCACTAATCTGATTCCGCAGGACTCAGAAATAGCTAAACAGACTATTTTTCAGAAAAAAGCATTTTGTATAGCCTAACTATAAAGCAGAAATCTATGGAAAACAAAATTAGTAAACGCTATATAGTTTTATGATATATATTAATTTCTTATATATTAACATGCTAGATCTTCTCGATTCATTTGTGCATTTTACCTAAAATCAGCATTGTCTCACAAGTATTAAATAACCAAAACTCCTCTTCACATAAAGTCTTTAGCAATCAGGAAACAACCCATACGTTGTAACTGTTCTTTGCCCCCTCCTGTCTGTTCCGTGTTTGATATGATGGTGTGGACAAGTCTCCTTTCCTGGCACAGTTTTCTTTTTCTTTTTTTTTTTTTTAAGTTTATTTATTTCCAGAAAGAGACACACACACACACTCACACACACACAGAGGCATATTTGACAGTCTTCGTGCTATGATCCTGCCACACCAGGTCATGGAGTACCAGTGTGTTCAGGCAGACCCAGGTCGCGAACCTGGTGCCTCCTTAGGGCCTACGATACCCCACAGCAGCGCTCCTACTGCACTGCTGCACTTGGGTCTCAGACACACTTTTTGTGGGATTCGTGTGTAAACCCTGCAGGCAGCAGCTTCATCAGGACAGTCCGGTCCTCCGTGGCAGGAAGACGCTAACCTTCAGACTTCATATCAAAGGCTTTGTCTATGAACCCGGAGAGAAAGAGCAAATACCTGATCTTCTAACTTCAGTGACAGTCTGCAGTTCTATGAGATTCAAAGCCAGAAAAGGAATACAAATAATCAATCTTAACACACTAATGAGACCGCTTCCTGACATCAAACTATCAGGCCACAGTGGAAGACAAGAATAATTTTTCAATTTACATTAAAATGAGAAAACAGGTAGCCTGCTGCGTGGGGTTTATGCATATTTGTAGTAATCTTGCTTTATCAATCAAGGCTTGTAAGATTCACGAGTTTGCCGATTTTATCAAAGATTGTTTTATTTGTCCTCTTCGAAAACAGTACATTTTAAAAGTAGACATTGCAATAAGGTAAACTGTGGTAAAATGTATGGAAGATAGAATTATAGATACATGTAGACAAAATGTGGGTATCAGGGACATGAAAAACATTCCTGATATTTTACCGAATTTCAGAATTTTCATGCAGACATCTGCACAGACTGAGAAGTTAACTCTTCAAAAGACGAAGGAGTGTAATAACAAACACCACCGCTCTGCAACCTAGCAATTGCATTCCTGACTTGTCCCAGAGAAACGAAGACTTCTGTTTGCACAGAAATTTGCACACAGACATTTATAAACAATTGGATTCACAAACAGCCTCAAACTGGAAGTCATCTCGATGTCTGTCTGTGGGTGAATGCTTAAGCACACTATGGTATACGGCTCAGCTCCAGGAAGGTCAACCCTGGGAGATATTCAATGACTCGAATGAATCCCCAGGGAAATGTTGATCAAAAAGAGTCAGCACTAAAAGGTTAAATAGTGTATGTTTTCAAGACAAAATTATAAGAGTGGAGAACTGCTTAGTGATTGTCAGGGGTCAAGGATGGGCTGGGTGTTGTGGCTACGGAAGGTCACCAGGAAGGAATCTGTTATAGTATAGATCTTGATTTGATGGACAAAGATACAGATTTACGTATGACTCATAAAATTACACAGAAATCATTCACCCACACCCGCACATACAGCAGTGCAAGTGAACCTGGACTGCGTTGATGTTAGTAATCTTGTTGTGAGGTTGCACTACAGTTTTGGAAGATATTGCCACTGGGAGAAACTGATTACTCCGTACAAGATCTCTCTCCATTACAACTGCCTGCGAAGCTACAATAATCTCAAAGTAAACTTTAACTACAATTCATGTCCACATTTTGGTGTCTTTCATTTTTAGTCCTTGATCTTTTTGTTTTCTAAGAACAATTGTAATCACATATTTTTCAAATGTAATTTTATTTTTTATTATTCATTTTTCTAATTAGGTCATGGGAAAGTCATGATGTATTTTTCTATGCAAAAATGTGTCATGACTTTCCTGACAACCCAATAATTTTGCTGTAGGAGATGTGCACTCACCAGAGAGAGACACAGAGAGAGTGCAAAAGCAAGCCACCAGGTCTGGGACTGGAACCATGGTAAGCCATGGGAGAATCCAGTGTCCAAACCACCACACCACCTGCTGGCCCCCAATTGTAATCATATTTAACTGGGGTTTTAGATGGGAAGGTAAGTCATTTACAAGGCAGAGCGATTTTCATAAGGTTTTCTTTTTGTGTCAAATTACAGATGGATTCCTATAATAATGGGTGACGGCTCCTACCTGGGCTTGCTCTGAAGTTCCATTCACAAACCGCTATGAGAGTTGGGAAAATGTACATCAGCTTGCATTCTCAGGAGTGTGATCTTTGAGCACATTTGCCATGAGATGAGGATTGTATTTAGTGTCAAATCGTAGATTGATTCCTATAATAACAGGGTAACGACTCCTATCTGAGTGCCTGTAAGAAGTGTAGAAAAATATGCCAGACGTTTCTGACTCTTCAGTGGTAATAACAAGTGAAAATGTTAAATAGTCATTGCTCTGACACAGCCAAGGCCATGAGTGCGACATGCCCATTACTTCATTCGGAAATCACTACCGGAAACACAACTTCCCTGGCCAGTTTATAGACGAGGAAACTGAAGTTCACAGAGTGTAAGTAATCCACTCGCGGCAGAGTTAATACGTGGGATTTCCTCCAATGTCTGGACCTAGACTCTGTCTTTTTGATTATGGCACCAGTGCTAAATTACGCCATTCCAGAGGCCACTCATGATGAAATGAATGCAGAAAAAGTAGCACTTTTCGCAATGCAACAACAAGTACAGATGTTGAATCACACAATAAAACATCCAGTTTCATGTTT